GTCGTCCGCCCCACGAGCTTAGCTATGCTGCCCTCGATCCGGGGTCGCAGCCCACCTGAAGGCGTTGAAAAGGAGGGCAACTGAAGACTTGGCTCGACACCGTCCGTCAAGATATGGAACAGTTCTTGGACTCTCTGTCTTCGGTCTCCATTGCTGGGTGGAGCTTTCCAGATCAGCTGCCGCCAATCGTCACGTTAGGTGGGGGGCCGTCCGCGACATCACTGAAGCCAGCTAGACCAGGCCTGATCACAGCCTTAACAAGCACAAGTATATGCGCAAATATATACAACCAAAAACAAAAATCAAACACTGCTTGCTACATAAATTTAGGCCACTTAGGAAGTAGATAATACTCTCGTGAACCTAAGTAATACCTCAGAGCCGAGGAGGGGAGAGAGCGAAAGCTGGAGTTGCGTATGTGCGCAAATTCTATGCAAACACCAAGGCTGTGTAGAGTAGCCTGGAGCAGTGTAGTGCGCTGCAGAACAGCGTTGATCCACCGGTGCGAGTCGTTGGCTGAGGCAAAGAGTCTTTCAAGTTTCGACTTCTCCGAATGTCCATGTCTGGCAGCATTTTTGGTCGCCTCGGTGCTGTCAGCATCCAATGCGGCAAGAACCTGAAACACCCAGATGCAAACTGTCAAAACCCACAATATTTTTTTAAAACGGTTACTAGAACCTGGTCAGAAAATCTGAAGGAATAGCAGTACCTGCTCTCGGAAAAAGGAGGAGGACATAAAGGGGTTGACTGGGTTCATACTAACCCTACTGCGTCGGACGGCAAAGCCATACTTCAAGGAACTGTTCAACCCTCACCTACGAAGACACTGTTCAGTCTAAAAACATACTACTAACTTTGTATCTGTAACTCGTTTTGTTTGCCTGAAGTTTGATATGCAAAACACACGGCGTGCAAGAGCCGGAACTAGCGTGGGAGTGCGGAAAACTATGGATTATGTGCAGTGTGCAACATCGGCAGCTTACACATGTCCACCAGGGGGTAGCTCGACTGTGCACAACTGAGACACAGGTACCCAGCCGACCTACTCGAAACATTACCCACCCCACACTGTCAACAGTCCTAACGTTTCTTTAATATAACTGTTTTTAGAGAGGTTCTTTTTTCAGAAAGCAAATTGCCCACTGGCCATCTGAAAAATGAGATTCGTATTTTCGGAACCGATTAGTATTCGAAAAAGTTGACCAAGGTCGGATTCGTTTCGCGTTCGATTTCTTCAGCTTTTGAATCCGGTTCGGAGTGTCGCAACCTTCTTAAATCATGCGCTTGTTAGTTGTACATATTAGTTTATTACGATAATTGTGTGTACTACTTCCTACTTGTGAAGGCAATTTTTTTAATAATTCGTACTGAGCCCTGTTATGTCCCACCCTAGGAAACCCTTACTTCCGCCGATCCCGTATTACAGATTGCTGGGAGATTTTGGGTTGCTGTGGTGATGCCAGTAAACTATCTCTATTGGAAAATTGTCGCGCAGAAGTAAAAAAAGTAAACTTGAATGCAAATTTAGCCTTCACTTGCTTTCGTGACAAGGCTTAAAACTTCCGCAGCCAGCAGGCGAATATGTAAGGCGGCCTGCACTTCGGAGTCACTGTTGGCCTCCAGCGATGAAGAGGATGAGGTGGACTCTGACTGTCGGTCTCCACTTTTGCATTCCGCCAGCTTCATCGTTCGCGGCAACACTGCAGACATGCACTGAACACACGCGTAGATGAGCACGTCGAGGAGGGATGGAAAGGCTTGCTGCTGAATAAAGGCAATCTCCTCCAGAGTGGACTGCGCGGAGAAGTCACCGCCCAGTAGGGAACGTTGATGTCGGGCCAGGAGGTCAGGCAAACTGGTGCCGCAGATGGGCGGGAAGTCGCAGGAGAGGAATTTGGGCAAGCACTGGGCGGCGGGTTGTGGGGGCGATGAAGAGGATGCTGATGATTCACGATGGAAGCCAGTTGGCGTAGCGGCTAGTGCGAGGAGAAATTGCTCCGCTAGCTCGGTCGACAGGATGGCTCGGATGCGCGACAGGGCGTAGAGCACCTTTTCAACGAAAACATGCATATATATTATAGCTACTTACTGGTGTACAGTAGGCATTGTTTATGTATCAAAAATGAATGCTCACTTGGTTGCAATCAAACTTATGCAGGTAAACCAACAAATGTTGGTGCAGAGGCAGAACGAGGAAGGGGAACTGGCCTGCAAGATGGAAAAAATCAGTAAATTTGAGCATTCGCGCATCCAAAAAAGAAACAGTAATTCGCCGTCAGTGTGGGTCATAAAACCCATCTGTAGAAGGTTAGTTCAAATGAACTTACTTAGAAACTCCGTAGTCATTACGCAGCGCTGCTCGGTTGAAGATGATGATGAAACCACAGGCGTCTCTTTCGCAGTTCCAGTGGCCTTTGTGTCGCGACACAAAAGTTCTCCCAGAAGCGCTACAGTGCAGAAATGGAACGTTTTAGGAGGGTGGAGGCTTTCTCCGGTACTCATGCGGCGATTGAACGTAAAGGTGAACACATACAGGTACGAAAAAGGACTACAGCCAAGGCAACAGCTCAAGCATGCGTGCTTAGCGTCCCAAAATGGCGAAAAATCGAAGATATCTGAAGCACTATCTCCACACATACACCAAAGAGACCAGGGAGTAAGCGATGGGAAAAAATCAGGAATTCCGTCGCTCTAATCACAGAGAATAAAAAATCTCTATTTAAGGTGGCTTCAGGCATCATGTGGAGATAGGAATATCAGCATAAAAGCACGGGGCAGTGGTCAGAAGCAAATTCCGCTGAAGGCTTTTTTTCTTTCCGGATAAACACGGACTTTGTCGACCTCGAGTTTTTTCCGGGTGGCCGCAAGGAAGGTGTGCACAGGCAAGCATACGGACCAAAAGAGGGGCAGGGGGAAGAGGTGGACGTGTTTTCGAATCTCACTTGCTTACCTTGACATCGTAGTTTATCTACATCAGGACGTGAACGGACGTTAACAGAAGAGGTGTTAGTTGAGAAAAAGGGTTATAAAACGGGTCAAGAGAGGGTGTCCCTGGTGGAAATACCGGCGGGACAAGATTTCTGCTTCACGGAGATGGGGATACTGACTATCGTATATCAGAGACTGCCAAAGTAGGCAATTTACCCATTTTTCGAGCCCCTTGCCTACCAGTATAAACAACGGAATGGTCAGTTCTTGTCTGTTTTTCGTCGTCAACCGGTCTTAGTCCGAACACAAGCTTGTTAGATCTGAGATTTGAACTCTGGTAAATCTGATTATTAACCAATTATTGAGACAAATTTAGTAGTGGTAGAAGGACAATTTATTTTCCTAAAAACGTGCCGACGGAGTAGCCAGTACTTGCCTGTATTTCATTATCAGCCAATCTTAGCCTAAACACCGGCCTAAAAGACTGACAGTTGAACCGTGGAAAACCTGGTCACGGAAATTAACTTTCTGTCAGTAAAACTGACGGTCTAACCTCAGGCCGTCGCTGTTCGAAACACATAATTCCACACAAGGGTTGCTTTCAGTGATTTGGTCTAAATACTGGACGGAGCATAGGGCGTTCATACTGTCTTGGAACTTCATTATGAAAAAGTAGTATGCCGTGGCAGAACCACAACCAATCAGCATGCGAGATGCTGTCATCAAGAAATTAGGTTGGAATGGACATTTGAGACCTAGTGTTTAACGGCAGCCAGTCGCATTCCAAATTTTTCCAGCAACCCAGATGTAAGCTGGCTTCACTTGGCTGTCGGCTGAATAATAATCAAAAATTTCAGGCAAGGTGCCTACGAAAGACAGAGAGAAATATTATTTAACTGGTCCAAAATCAGGTCGCATCGGTAACCGTCACGCCCACTCGTATTGCACCGATGACGGAGACGAAAACTATTGAAAGGATCGAAGTACCGCTAGTTCATCCATGTTAAAACGCTTAGATTCAGGGGCACAGGGATGCAAATTATGTCGACCAGAAATCCATTAGGAAAAAGACTCGAGCATAAGCATACCGCGGATGAAAGTTCTGCGGAGCTCATCGGGCGTGCTCTCGTTCCGATTCCGTCCATCGCGATCCTTGTCACCGGCCTGAAGACTGGCCATCACGTCGATGGGTTTGTACTCCTCAGCAAAAACATCTTGCTTCTTGTGCCCCTTTGAACTCTGCGTTAGGGGAGGAGAAGAGCGGTCAATGAAAGGATTGTCTAATATCAAAGGTAATTCAGTTCAGTTCTAAGGGAGAGATGAACAAGCGCCTTTGTGCTAGAGCCCAGCTTAACTCAGAGTGCATGCCGCCCTAACGAGGCCTTCCCACGCGAGACCGCTGGTCCACCCACGCAGAGTCATGTAACAACGCGCACGCGGCGGAGCAGGACTTTAATGCAAGCCAGACAACTGGTCCGCCCACACACACCAACTGCATTGTGTGACGCAGCTGCGTCCAACTCCAGCTAAGTGGTAGACTAACACGCCAACTCTCATGACTCACCCAATCAATGAAGTCACGCTTTTCTTGTTACCACCATCTAATTGGTCCAACCTTGTATAAACGCGTTCGTTTGCTTGAAATTATGCTGTACTATGTTTCTTGAAGCCTTCTTCGTTAGTCCACTTCTTGTCGTGTTCTTCCTTTAGGGGCTTACACAAGGTGTAACGAAGACGGCGATATCACAGTATTTGCCCGCCGTTACGACACTTTGAACCCCCTATTGCTGACAAAGTGACGAAGAAATGTCTCCGTACAGCAAAAAATCCAAAAGACAGGTCATTTACGCAATCGCGAGCGAAAATCGGACAGCCGTCGGACA